AGGGCAGTAGCATGAGGGTAAGAGGGCCGACTGACCTTACGCTTGGGCTTGCCGCCGTTCTCGGCTGTCGTCGTCGCCGCCGCCGAGGCCGAACTCTTTTCATTCTTGTCATTCCACCCGAAAATCTTGCCCAGGCTCAGGCCCATCGGCTTCGCTGACGGCCCGTCCTTGTCCGCCGCCGCGCTCCCTGCTCCCATGATCCGCGACTTCTTCGTCTTCTTCTTCGTCATCGGCTTCTTCTTCGTCGCCTTCTCTTCATCATCGTCATCGTCATCGTCCTCTTCATCATCATCGTCGTCGCGTGTCTCGGCCATGACGAGCCGCAGCTGCTCCGAGTCGGTGTCCTCCTTGAGCCGCGGCGTGAAGAGCTCGATGAGGAGGTCCCCGACGTCGGGGCTCACCGAGCCCACCAGGTAGTCGAACCGGGCCAGGAGCGAGGCCATCAGCTCCCGCTCCTCGCTCAGCTCCGCGTAGAGCCGGTGGGCCGGCGCGCCCGCCGCCAGCGCCTCCCCGCGCACCGTGCCCCAGCTCCGCCGCTTCTCCCCGCGCTCGCAGTGCCGACAGATTATGCGCGCGGCCGCAGACACTGTCGACGACGCAGAGGGAATGGACGACATGGTGCGGCTGCGGCTGGGCTTGGTGCGGCCGCGTCGGTCGGCGCCGCTGGAGCCGGCCAGGCGGCCCTCGCTGACGACGCGCTCCATGGAGCTCTTCTTTTTGTTGTTGTCGGCTGCGTCGGCTGCGCAGGGGAGCTTGCCCTCGCGCTCGTCCCGCTTGAGCTGCCGCTTGGCCTTCTTGCGCTGCAGCTCGTCGCCCTCGTACTGGAGGCCGTCGAGGAGGCCGCCGGCCTTGTCCTTGCCCCGATGCAGCAGCTTGAACACGCCCTTCTTCTTTTTCTTCTCCTTCTCCTTCTTCTTCATCTTCGTCCCTTCTTCTTCATCTTTCTTCTTTTTGCTCTTCTCCTTTTTCTTCTTCTTGTCCTCCTCTTCCTCGTCGTCGAACAGCGGTCCCCTAAGTGCACAACGAAATCATTAGTAATTAAAAAATTAATGTTATAAATAAAAACAAATAAATAAAAGTACGCAATCTTCTTTATTAAATATTAAATAAATAAATCAATAAGGCAAAAAATGAAGCGAGAACGAAGAGGGGCTTACCCGCAGACGGCGCAGCGATCGGTGGCGAAGAGGCGGTAGTCGCCCCTGATCTTCTTCAGCTCGGCGGTGAGGTCCCGCACAGCTGCCGCCCACAACCCATGGACATAATGAATCAAGATGCATTTGCAGAACGTCAAAAATAAAATAAAATAACAATAAAAATGAAGGGAGAACGCACCTCCCTTGGGCGGCTCCACTTCTGCTAGGGCGGTGCTCATTGCTCTCTTCCTTCCTCTTCCTCTTCTTCAGTTGCAGAAAACGTCGTTTGTCAATTAATTGTTCAAGTTCAAGCGCGTATGGGCCAACTCTAAATGCAAAAGATCGACTCAATCTCGCATAAGCCCACAGTGGTCGCCAGACAGGTGTGCACGAAAGGCTGTTCGCCACCACCTTGAGTGGGTGGGGGGCTTCATGTTGTGTCCCTCGGCTTTCCCTTCGAACTTCTGGCCGTCAGTTCCTTCGCCGACTGGGGAAAAAAATAAACCTTGAAAAATGTGCGAAGTTCGCGGCTTTTCGCCACACACCGCTGGTCAGCCACAGTCAACACGCTGCCTGTTTATCTGATTGGTTCTCTGTGTACAGCTGTGGACAATTTGAGGAGTTGTGCTGGCGGCCAGCTGTCTCCTGCAGGAGAGGGGGGCCGAACTATTTCATCTTGCCGCACTTGGGGCACTTGGTGCCGATTCTGGCCTGGGGGGTACCGGCGCACGCGTGGCACACCACCAGCACGCATCCACTCTTGCACACGGCCTACCTCAACAGTTCCGTCGATACAACAGAGCCATAAAACGTACACCCTCTCAGTTGTTCTCTAACCCACAACCACAAACTACAACCTACACCACAAGCCAACCGCCACTGCAACGACATGGGCAAGTGCGCCAACTGCAATACCTCCATGGCCAAGGAGCACAAGGTATTCAACCCCCCTTCCCTTGTGGCGTGACCCGCAAGCGCTGATAACAAAGGAGGAGAGCGTGAAGTTGCACAGTTGTGTCACTTTCTCGCACATAGACAAAAAGAGAGATGCAAAAAGAAGAGGAGAGCGGGGGGCAGCAGCTGCCGGTGTCAGAGGAGGAGATGCGGCGAGCGGCAGACCTCATCGCACGTGCCAAACGTTTAGTGGTGTTCTCGGGCGCTGGCATCTCTGCAGAAAGTGCGCCACATGCATCCAATTCGCTTCATCTTCAAATACTGTTTTCTGATTAATGTCCATGCATGCTGTGCGATGCAGGCGGTATTGCTACCTTTCGTGATCCAGAGATGGGGCTGTGGACCTCCAAGATCGGCCTCGCTTGGTTCGGTACGTTGTCTGACCGCCAGCTCTGTTGACTTCCACCGCCCACCCGCTACTCACATGCGCCCCCCCCCCCAGGCA